TGGTCAAGGAAACGGAGGCTACGAGGTGTGAAGGCTCCCGAATGCCACTGGTCAAGGAAACGGAGGCTGTGAGGTGTGAAGGCTCCCGAATGCCACTGGTCAAGGAAACGGAGGCTGTGAGGTGTGAAGGCTCCCGAATGCCACTGGTCAAGGAAACGGAGGCTACGAGGTGTGAAGGCTCCCGAATGCCACTGGCAAGCTTCGGCCTCAGGATTAGAGCACAGAGCTGCTGGCCTCCGAAGTATGAGTTCTTGCCTCCCCTCAGAAGTATGTAGCACGGGGATGGGTCATCCCATTCTATGGATTCTGGGGAAGCTGAGGCCCAGAGGAAAGAGGCGACCCATCCAAGGTTATATACCTGGTTGGACCAGGCCAGAGCCTGGGTACCCTCCTGGAGATGACAAGTATTTTTAGTGCCCGCATCCTATGGCCAGCCATGCAGGTTGGGGTGGGGCAAGTTAAGGCAGAGCTGGAGCCTTCAGGGACTTACGGTTCCGTAGGAGAAATGAGACACACGGCCGTGCAATGGTTCTGGTCATTTACTTGTCAGCCTCAGAGTCCCTCCCTGGCCACTGCCCTCCCAGCATGCTTTGGGAAGTGCAAGTGCATGTCCCCAACCAGCTGCTGCTCCTGGGGGTCTGATGGGGGAGGAGGCCTCTTTTGGGAGCAAAGGTCAGCAGAGAAGCCTTGTCCCTGCCCTGCCCTGGCTCTTCAGCCTGCTGGGGTCCACACGGGGTCTCCGGGGAGGCAGGCAGAAGGAGATTCGCAGTCCAACCATGAGGGCACCTGCATTTCCACCTGCGTGCCTGTTCTGACGTGTTCCTTCTACCCTGTGTTCCTGGGCCTGGAGACGGGCTGGTTCTGAGCAGTGACAGAGGTGCCACAAGGAGCAGATATATATATATATACCTATGTAGATGGGGCTGGGGAGAGAGAGAGGGAAATACATGTATATATTGTTGATCCATTTGTGAGAACACTGCAGACACCAAGACACAAATAATTTATCACCAATCTCCTAAAAACCAGAACATTCACCAAAAGAATCACAAGGCTGTCATCACATCTGAGAGATTTAACATTGACACAATATTATCTACCACACACTCCTTATTCAAACTTCCCTAATTGTCCCTCAAAATATCCTTCATAGCTTTTTTTCCTGATCCAGGATCCACTCAAGAATCGGGCATTGAATGCGCTGTCATGTCTCTCTAGCCCCCTCTAATCTAGCAGAGTCTCCTTGCCTTCTTTGTTTTCACGACATTGATGTTTTGAAGAGTTCAGGCTGGCTGTCGTGTAGAATGTCTCTCAACTGAGATTTGTCTGATTGTTTCCTTATGATTAGATTTTGGTTAAACATTTTGTCAAGAGATCTACTTGGTGGTGTGCACCGTTCTCTGTGCATGCTGTCAGGGGCCACCATTTGTCAACGTTACTGGTGATGCTGAATTTCATCACTTGGTTTAGGTGGTTTCCCCCAGATCTCTCCCATGTAAAGTTACTTTTTTCCCTTTGTCGTTCATGACTCATCTGTAGGGTGATGCTTGGAGACTCTGGGACCGTCCTGTTGCCCAGCAACGCTTTACCCAGTAGTTTCAGCATCCATTGGTGATCCTTGCCCAAATCAATTGCAAATGGTGATTTTTTGATTCCATAATTCCTTGCCTATTTTTCAGTTGGTGTTCTTCTGTAAAGAAGAGCTTTTTCTTCTCTGTTACCACCATACCATTCCTTTTAATTTTCACCATCACCCTGCAGGGTAAGAATTGCCACCCCCATTCTACAGATGAGGAAATGGAGTTTCCGGAAGCTTGAAAC